TTAGTTCTAGTCTGCACAGTGTTAGTTCTATTCTGTAGAACGTTAGTTCTATTCTGTAGCGTGTTAGTTTTATTCTACACAGTGTTAGTTCTATTCTGTAGCGTGTTAGTTCTAATTAATACGGTGTTAGTTAGCCTTCGCAGCTCATGTTTGTTTTAATTTCAACTCAAACATGATGTGTTTGCAGCACTCACTCTATGGCTTGGAGGTGAACAATTACGAGCTTTATTTGAACTTCATTGACAAATATACCGCATTCCGCATAGAGCATCTCTTGATCCCTTTGGTCAGGGACGACCATTGGCATCTTGTAGAAGTTGACCTTAAAGATAAAGTCGTCAAGCATTACAGCTCCGCTGGGCACGAAGCTTGGATGGAGCCTGTTAATAAAATCATAAAATTCTTTGATGCCCATCATGCTGATTTTATTGAAGATAATGTGCGCCAAATATTTAGATATCAAGCCATCAAATGCGAGCAACAAAGAGGACGGTTAGTTCCGATGTCTATATTGTTCAAATTTGTGTTATAGTATTCGAACGGACCGAAAATGTCTAATGAACTCACTCTATGTTGCAGCTTTGACTGTGGTGTGTTCGTCTACCTCTTTGTAAAATCCATAATTGAAGGACGATCAACATTGCTGGTTAATCCTCCGAACGATATCCCTGAAGCTATGCGAGCAAGACTTGCCGCACAATTATTACTGGCTGGTTTTGAACAAAGACATAAAGAAGAAACAGTGTACAGTGATGAATGATATGTTCATACAAATACAATAATGTATGTATATTTAAGTAATTGAAAATGATTGTTATCAGATGTATTGTTCTATCTATCAAAATAAACCTCAGCCCAATTAACTTGAATATTTCCCATAATAGCATATATAGCTTTTGCTAATTCTAGGGAAATGAAATGAAAACTTCCAGTTTTTGGAAATAAGTTATAGGCTAGGATACGAGCAATGAACCTAGGAAATGGACGAAGTTTGTTTGAATTGTTCAAAGGTTTTCCATGTCCTGGAAGAAATATGTGATTGGATAGCAAGTCTGAATCATTCATCCTAACAGAGCTAAGAGAAACTCCTTGATAAGGAATGTTGAATATTTTACCAATTGTTTTAGTAGTTAATTCAATCTCCATTCCTTTAACAAGGGTTTTAATTTTTTCAGAACCACCAATTGTACCCACACGTTCTATATTGGTATAGAACAGTTGCACAAGAAATGGGTATGATGGTTTCTTATTTTCAGCAGAAAATAACTCAAGCAAGCCCACATTTTCAAAATAAGAACTAAAGTTCCATGGGATGAAATCATCGAACTTCACAAATCGTCCTGTAAGAATTTCTAAAGTTGAAAGTCTGTTAAATTCTTCCAATAATTCAGGACTTCTTAAATAAACAATGATTTCATCATTGAGAGAACTGTGAGTTTGCTTAGCTTTCTTAGATCTAAACATGATGAACTAGATAAATAACAAGAGAATGAAAGATCAAGTTTAGAAGTATACCCCAAACAGTAGAAACCCTAGAATAGCCGACTATAGCCTGGATTAGTCGACTAATGAGCCTGATAGCTTGACAAGATTGAAAGACAAATAAAGAAATTGATGAGGAAATTTTAGAAACAAGAAAAGCCCTAACCTGGAATCGGTGAAACTGAAGAGAAGAAGATGGGGAAGATGGGTTTTCGGTTTTGGGTAGAGTTAGTGGGTTATTTTTGCTTTTTAATTTATCTTTTAATAATGTAAGGTTTAGATTAGATGGTAAATAGAATGTAGGGTCAAGATTAAATTTTAGATGAATGGTTAGGATTGGTGCAGTTAAAAATGAATGGTTTAGATGATTTTTACTAAAGTAAAACGGGTAGGGTTATTGGATATTGGGTTTAAAACATAAAAAATCCACTTTTTTTAATAAACTAAAGGTTCAGAATTAGTAGTCGACTAATAGTCAAAATAGTCGACTATACTGTAAAAGATAGAAGGTTAAGTTTTAGTTTTTAACTCTGAGTAGTCGACCAATATGTGAATTAGTCGACTACACTGTAATCAACAGAGAGTATTTTTAAGATTTTACATTGAGTAGTCGACTATAAAGGTAAGTAGTCGACTATAATCTGATTTTTCAGAAAAATAGTTTGTAAGAATTGTGCATGTAGTCGACTATAAGTTAGATTAATCGACTACTTAAGGTTTAAATTTATGTATTTTTGTTTTAAAAATTAATTTAAATCTTCAATTGAACATATACCTAATTCCCTTCTTAATTTAACATAAACTTCTTCTTTTAGTGGTTTTGTTAATATATCTGCAATTTGTTTATCTGTAGGTATAAACTCTAATGATATGTCACCTTTAAGAACATGATCACGTAAAAAATGATGTCTAATATCAATGTGTTTTGTACGTGAGTGTTGAATAGGATTTTTAGATAAATTAATTGCACTAGAATTATCACACATAATAGATGATATGGGACAATTTATGCCATAATCAGTTAAAGTTTGTTTCATCCATAATATTTGTGCACATGCAAGACTTGCAGCAATATATTCAGCTTCAGTTGTTGATAATGATACTGAATTTTGTTTCTTACTAAACCAAGATACAAGTGAATGTCCTAAGAAATGACATGTTCCACTTGTACTTTTTCTATCAGATTTACATCCGGCAAAATCAGCATCACTATATGATATTAAATCAAAAGAACTATGTTTTGGATAAAATAAACCATAATTTGTAGTATCTTTAATATATCTAAATATTCTTTTTACTGCTTTAAGATGTGAAACTTTAGGATTTGATTGAAATCTTGCACATAAACATACACTAAACATAATATCAGGTCTACTAGCAGTAATGTAAAGAAGTGATCCAATCATACCTCGATAGAGCTTTTGATCAACATTCTTACCATTTTCATCTTTGTCAAGAGATGTTGTAGTGCTCATAGGTGTTGGTTTGCTTGTTGAATTTTCCAATCCGAATCTTTTAAGTAAATCTTTTGCGTACTTGCTTTGATTGATGAAAATTCCTTCTTTCAATTGTTTAATTTGAAGTCCAAGAAAGAAATTTAGTTCACCCATGTGACTCATTTCAAATTCATCCTGCATATTCTTAGCAAATTCTTGACAAAGATTATTGTTAGTAGAACCAAAAATAATATCATCTACATATATTTGAATTAGTAAAATATCTTTATTTATTTTCTTAATAAACAATGTTGAATCAACTTTTCCAATATCAAAACCTGAAGTTAAAAGAAATTTCTTTAATCTATCATACCATGCACGAGGTGCTTGTTTAAGACCATATAATGCTTTCTTAAGTTTAAAAACATGATTTGGAAAACTTTCATGTTCAAAACCTGGAGGTTGTTCTACAAAAACTTCTTCATTTATAAAACCATTTAAAAAAGCACTTTTAACATCCATTTGAAATAATTTAAAATTCATAAAACATGCAAATGCAAGTAAAATCCTAATTGATTCTAATCGTGCAACTGGTGCATAAGTTTCATCATAATCAATTCCTTCTTCTTGATTATAACCTTGAGCAACTAATCTAGCTTTGTTTCTAACAACTTGACCAAATTCATCTAATTTGTTTCTAAAAATCCATTTTGTTCCAATAATGGATTTATTTTGAGGTCTAGGTATAAGATCCCAAACATTATTTCTAGTAAATTGATTAAGTTCATCTTGCATAGCTATTATCCATGAATCATCAAGAAGTGCTTCTTTTATATTTTTAGGTTCAATAGTTGAAATAAAAGCATTATGAGCAATCAAATTAAAATGTGATCTAGTAGTTACTTTGTCAGATATATTTCCTATAACTAAATCATGTGGATGATTTTTAACTTCTACAAAATCTTTAGGTAAATCATTTTGTAGATTATCATCTTTTGTAATATCTATCATAGGAGTATCTTGTATGGTATCAATTACATCATCATCATTATTTAGTATAATAGGTATTTTTGAAAAACTTTCATTAAAAGAAACATGTAAAGATTCTTCAATAACTTGTGTTCTTTTGTTATAAATTCTATATGCTTTACTGTGATTAGAATATCCAACAAAAATTCCTTCATCGGATTTTGAATCAAATTTATCTAAGTTATCCTTTGTATTTAAGATAAAACATTTACAACCAAAAACTTTAAAGTAAGATACTTTAGGAATTTTGTTATAAAATAATTCATAAGATGTTTTCTTTAAAATAGGTCGTAATAAAACTCTATTTAATACATAACAAGCTGTTGATACGACTTCTGCCCAAAAATATTTAGGTAAATTACTATCACATAACATGGTTCTAGCACATTCTTGTAAGGTTCTATTTTTCCTTTCTACAACTCCATTTTGTGGAGCAGCTCGAGGAAAAGAGAATGTGTGTGATATACCATGTTGATCACAATAATTTGCAAATAATTCATTTTCAAATTCACCTCCATGATCACTACGTATAGAGATAATAGAAGTTGATTTTTGATTTTGAATTTTCTTGCAAAATATAGAAAACTCATTAAAAGCATCATTTTTATGTTTAAGAAAAATTACCCAAGTGAATCTAGAAAAATCATCAACAAGAACAAATGCATATCTACTTCCATTTAAAGATGCTACTCTAGATGGACCAAAAAGATCTATATGAATTAATTCTAATGGTCTATTTGTAGATATTATATTTTTAGATTTAAAAGAAGATTTGTGCATTTTTCCTTGTTGACATGCATCACAAAAATTATTTTTAAATGACATCTTAGGCAAACCATTTACTGAATCATTTTTAGAAATCTTAGACATATGTTTAAAGTTAACATGTCCAAAACGTTTATGCCATAAAATAGAATCATTAGATGATGCAATAAGACAATGTTCATTTGAAATATTATTCATTGATAACACATATATGTTATTTTTTCTATAACCTTTAAAAATAATGGTTATTAAATCAATATCATAAATTAAGCATGATTCTTTTTCAAAAACAATTTTATAACCTTTATCACAAAGTTGACTAATACTTAGTAAATTATGTTTAAGACCATTAACTAATAAAACATTATCAATGATAGGTTTGTTTGGATTACCTACGGAACCAATACCGATGACTTTTCCTTTGTTGTTATCTCCAAAAGTAACGGTACCTCCATCCTTGTTTTGAAAAGATGACAACAATTGAATATTTCCAGTCATATGTTTAGAGCAACCACTATCTAAAATCCACCTATCTTTCTTGGGTACCTGAAAAAATAAACATTTACATTTTGGTACCCATACTATGTTGGGTCCTTTAAATTAGCCTTTAGGAAACCAAACCCATGAAGAGTTTGATTTACTTAAATAATTAGATGATAAACAAATATTTTTAATAAAATCAGAAATATAAAAATTCTTATTAAAAGAAGATAATTCTTTTGGAACCCAAATAGAAAAGAATTTTGATTTCTTTTTATACAAATTTTCATATTTATAATCATGCAAATCACAAGAAGGTTTTACAAAAATTGTATTCTTTGATTTGTTTTTATTAATTTGAAAACCTAATCCTTTTGTCTTTTGTGATTCTCTTTGAAAAGAAAGAATATTATTAAGATTTTCTTTTCCTTTATTAAATTTGCTTACATTTAAACATATATCTTCATATCTTGATTTAAAAGAAGAAATATCTTTATCTAAACTATTAATTCGAATATTTAACTTATTACATTCTGATTTTAAATATTTATTTTCATTAGATAAATTATCATTTTCTTTTAGTAAAGAAAAATTTTCTTCTTTTAATTCAACTAATTGAGAATT